GTTCTCTTTCTTTCTTTTTTTTTTAAAAACATACTTTATTTTCAATTTAAGGATGTTATAAGTTCTCCATATTCACAGTACAAAATAGAAAAGATGCAACAAAGTGGGCAAAGTAAACCCAACTGTGATGTGGAGAAAATAGATTAGTAGTCAAATAACATATACATCATAAAGGCAGTATACAAACTATTGGTTTATTTCTAAACAACATAGTTCAACTTTGCGCTATGTTGTCCTTTACTATTGATACATTTAAATATATATCTAAACTTAGATATACAATTTAAAGATAAAATGTATAATGTTGATGATATGTGTATTTGATACCTTTATTAGTTGTGTTCCATTTTATGGCTTCCTTTACAATCTGGGGTATCAACAAAATCCACAAGATCGAGTACATTATTTGTGGATTTACAGGATTTCCAATTCTGTTCTAGCTATATTTACATATACAACAGCTTGTATCCCTGCTTAATGCATATGTAATTGTGTTTTAAGACTTTTGTATGTCTATTTTCTTGTGTGCCGTCAGTGTGTTTGTGTTTGTAAGATGCTCGGTGGTAACATTCCTGGAATTATCAGTTGCTGGTGTTATCAGCAGCTTGCAGCAGTACAGGACCGTTCCCCATTACACCCCCTGCCTCCCTGCACATATTAAGCGTTATGCAGTATTACATATTATAATAAGTTTTAGTATTAAAACAAAATGCATTCTCAAGGGTTTTGCTGTGTTTTGCAAAACGGGGAAAATACATAAACATAAGAAAATACATTGATTGCTATGGGGCCTGTAATGCATTGTAAAAGTCTGTATGCTGCATTTTTTGGTCAATCTGCCATTCAAGACAATAAGATCCATTTAAAAATTGCATATGAGTGCATATTGATGCAGGACAAATCAACATATGTGTTATAATGAGAACAAGCCAAGGGCATGCAGGGATCAAATGATAATGAAAGGCAGGTATTTTTTGCTCTGCTGGGAAAAAGGAAATTCTGTTAAAAGGTTTCACCACTGTTGTGCTAGACAAAACTAGATTTACTCAATAACTCACAATCCCCTTTCCTCTAAGATTCTGTAACAATAAACCTAGTAGCACCCTACATTTAGAATGCTAATCAGTCCTACCTTTTCACTACATATCCTTATCCCTGTCTGAACTGAACTGAAAATACAGCCCAGGACCTCCCACAAGCAGCATATACTTACCATATACTGTATTTCCTAACATTAGTGGACATCAAACTATCACACCTTTCTATGTGGCCAGAAGTATGTGGACACCCCTCCAAATGATTGTGTTCAGGTGTTTTCCATAAGGGTGCTATTAATGCTGCAGCATACAAAGACATTTTAGGCAATTGTGGACTTCTAACCTTGCAGCAACAGTTTTGGGGGAAGGCCCTCTTTTCTTCAAACATGACTTTACCCCTGTACACAAAAGCCAAGGCCATAAAAACATAGCTTGAGGAGTTTGTTGTGACAAACTCGAGAAGACTGCACAGAGCCCAGACTTCCACCCTACTGAACACCTTTGGGATGAACTGGAAAGCCTATTGGGAACCTATTTTGACTGAATGGACACCAATTTCCTCAAGCACACTTCAAAGTCTTGTGGAAAGCCTTCCTAGAACAGTGGAGGATGTTATAGTTGCAGGAGCCAGTGAAGGGAGGCTAGAATTCCATATTAATGCTCATGGTTTTAAAACAAGATGCCCAACCAGCTCATATTGGCGTGATGGTTAGATGTCCACAAAGCAATCTATTACTTTTTTTCTGATGCAAGTTACTGTTGAAATCCAGGACTTATGTCTTATGTTTTTAACTCTTATCAACAAATAGGACTGAGCTAGGAGTATATTTAGATCATTTGGATGCACAGGAATAAACTTAACTATGCAAAAATAAAACAATTCAAACTTTGCATATAGTAGGTACTTTGACCACTTGTGAGGAATTTATGACAGGAGAATTTATATTACCCTGTTACAGAATGGCATTAATTTACTAGTGAAATAACTCCTTGGCTAGCTAAAGGAGTTCTAAAGTCCCCGCATATACTATCCGGTTATAACATCAGCATTGTAATAGGAATACATACATAATGCAATCAAAGCTTACTTGAAAAAAAATCCCTTTTATGTAGTAAGTGGCGTGCTGCCTCCTGTCTTCCCAAGACTTTCATCAGCGTCCCAGATTCCCAGTGTGCTTTACATCTCTTTCTCTTGATGTGATGCAATCTCCATTTCTTAAGACTACATAGCCCATCATGCATTGCTTCCAGCAAGCAATGATGATGTTACAGTGTGGGAAGGTTAGATTTTGAGTTGTTGTTCAGGTGGCAGGCTTAGTTAGTGCGGTGAAACAAGGAAGTTCATACTGATTTGAATAAAATACTTATTGCTTTTTTGGTTGTATGGACCTTTAATACATCCTATGCCAAATTTAGAAAAGCCCTATCGCCAGTTTTGTTAGCTTAACCAACACTTCAGGTAGTTCTTAGTTTCACCACTTTAAGAATCTGTCACTATGGCTGCAACAGATTCAAAGAGAAATACCACCAGTTTACAGATTAGAAAACTAGTGGTAATTAAGGCCAACTCTGATTTGTTGTACAGAGACATGCCACTGCCCAGATTGGGGAGGTATGTGTGCTTAGAAGCTGTCATCAAAGTAATGGCTTCCCATTCATTTGCTTCTGGGACACAGGGCTGCTGGTGTCCTAAGAATCAATTATGCATCCCTGGCCCCAATCATGTGCCATCTGGGAGATTCCCCAACTTAAAGTAAATTAACCCCTGGGAAGGTAAAGTTTCTCTTTTTACCCAGATCTATCACAAAGCAAACCAATTTCCATATAGACCTACCCATTTTTTTAAGAGCCAGGAAATTCAGATTGTTAATGAGTATGGGTAGGCTATTTGCTATACATCTTCACATACAAAAGGTGATACCACCATAGTTATTCAAAACAGCAATACACAGAGCAGCAATGTTGAGTGAAGTGAAAAACTCATATGAACCAATCAGATTTCAGTCAGAGTAAAAGATACTACATCACTGCTACCCGCACTGCCTTTTTGTGGCCCCATGTAACCAGGTGACCATTTAGTATGAAAGTTGCTTTTATGAAACAACTGTATCTTTCACAAAGTAATTCCACAATTTGATTGTTGATTGTCTTCCTCTAAAAAGAATGACCACTCCTGGTGTAAAATCCAATCAAAGTGGGTTAAATTGAGCTTTTCTTTGCTGTATTGAACATTGATTTTTAATGTGCCATGCCCCAGAATGATTCAATCTATAATGAATTGATCAATTAACACTATGGTCATGGGCAGCATTCAAAAGTTGCATTTTCCCTCATTTTCAGTCCCGGTGACATTATTGATTAGGAGACAGAGAGGGCAAATCTCTCTACTAAAGGTACACAGATTACATAAAACCTGACAGGAGTTCTAACCTTTCCGCTGTATAGAGGGCATTTGTGGCAAAGTGACAGTGCATTTGTAAAGGGCCCTGATAAAGTTATACTTGCCTACCAGTAATCTCACTGCCTCACCGCAGCCAAAAATAAATACCTGGTGCTTCCAAGTATGGGGGAGCATGCAACCTTCTCTCATGTGACAGTGTTTGTGTCTAGCAGCCAATTGCACTCTCTCATGACAGATGGGGTAATGTGACCACTCCTCATAGCCACCAACACGAGGAGACACCTCGGAATTCAGTGCCGGGTGCAGTGGGGGCAGATGCTGTGAGGTAGCTCTAGTAAGGTGAGTAGAACTGGGGTGGTGGGTGGCTTTACAAACACATTGCCATTTTGCCCTGCATGGGCAAGGTGACAGTGTCCTTTTAAGGAGCAGCAGCTAAATGTCAGTAAGTTAAGTCAGTAAAGACCGGTTCTCCAGTCAGATGTGGCTATTTTGATTAGCAAAGCTGCCTATCAAATATTTGAATCAAGTGTTTCTGCACCAGACTGGTATATTTTGGTTAGGATAGTCTTTTTCAAGTTTCTTCTCCTCTATAGAGTTTTAAAAGCAATAGAGCTATTAGGCAGACATGCATATGGCCTAACGTATCCAAAGTTAATTAAGTTAATGCGGTGTGGGCTGGGCTATTTCTGAGCATTCCCTATGCCAGTAAAAGGACTTTCAATGCCTATATAAACATGTGCACTAGTTTTTTAAAAATGTGCTTAGATAGTATAAACTTCATCTAGCTGTTATAGGCTTAAGGCTGAACTCCACATAGATATAAAATACACAAATGAAACCATCATTAATTATATATATTAAACACAAGCAGTGTAAGTACCTTATTTGATTTGATATCAGCATCTTACAATACCCTTTACAGTAGCACATAGTGAGAAGCAACACAAGGCACCAATCTGTGTTGCAGTCCCCATATGCCAACAAGGGACATGCTAAGGAGGAGAGAGCAGAGTTAGGCTGGGTTCACACCTGGGCGTACAGAATATGCGCGTTTGCCGCGCGTTTTTACCGCGATATGCGGTAAAGGAAACGTGCGAAAAACGCGCGTTTACGAGGGCTATCCGGCTGTATCCTAATGGACACGCGTGGAAAATACGCCCCAAAGAAGCTCCTGTACTTCTTTGGGCGTAGGGCGTTTTTCAGCGCGTTCCTACGCGCTGAAATACGCCCAGGTGGGAACCATGCCCATAGGCAATTATTGGTTTTCACATGCTGCTGAGCGTTTTACAGTGCGCCTCTACGTGCTGTAAAACGCCCAGATGTGAACCTGGCCTAAACCTCCAGAATAAACTGATATATGTACAAATACATATACAATTTCCATCTGTGTATTTGGCTGTTTGCCTGGAATTCTGCTTTTGTGTATAGGTATCTCATCCCTTGTCAGTAAAAATTGCTGTGTACAGGTACTTCTTGTAATAATAATGTTGATAAGAAACTGATCTATTTTAACAGTTTTTATCTTTTCTTATTACATTAGGTATCAGTTAATGGTGAAGAAGGAAGCCCAAACCTACCAGAGTTATCCGCAGATTACAGAAATGAGTATGATGCCACAGACTCTACTCAGACTATAGTAAAAATTTCAACACAATATCAAATTATTGGTTCATCAGATGCTGACTCAGGAGACTTACAAAAATATACTGAAGACTTTCAGAACCCATACAAATTAAAAGAAGTTGTATCTGAAGCACAAACAGAAAGGGATTTGGATGTAACTACCAAGAACCTTCCTGCAGATGAAGAAATAACCTATATTTCTGAAGAGCAGAGGCCAATTATTACTGACACAGAGGTGACTACTACTACTTCAGACCCAGCCATGGACAGAGTGACCAGAAGCATGATCTTCTCTCTTTCCTCATCCAGAAGTATAGGTGGTTCAAGGGAAGATCTGACTAATTCCACACCTGAAGAAAGCCAAGTGGCAGATAAAGGTAAAGATGTGTGGATCCCTCCACCAGATCGAAATAGTAAGTTGAAAGTGCTGAGGGGGGAGGAACGTTTTGAAATACGTTCACATCGTCCAGAGACTAGCCCAAGCAAGCTCTTTGTTGACAGTGATGGCGAGGAACATGGAAATTCCAGGGTAGGCTCACATCAATTTACCCCAGAAAAAGTATGGGAGCTTGAGCAGGAAAGAAGAGACATTATCAAAAAGCAAGGTCACCGTAAAAGTTTGGACACAGAAGATTTGATCAACTTACAAGAAAGCACGGATTCCCCAGTTACAAACAAAGAAGTGAATGGTGGTCAAACTGAAGCAGAGGTAGACATGGAACAGATCAATTTTGAAGCTGCCAGGCAGCAGTTTGTAATGTTAGAGAAAAAGAGGAACAGTCTCCCTATAACCCCTCGCCTTCAGCAGAGACCACCTAGGCTCTCTTCTCAGTCACTGTATGAGAATTACAGCTATTCTGATTTTCCCAGGCAGAAAGAGCCTTCCATATTGGAGCAGGATGTAAAAGCATATCAGAATGAAAGCACTGTAACCCAAGAAACAACTGGTAGGGAAAGAAGTGCTAGCTTACTCCGCAAACAGTTTTTAAGGGATTTGTCTGTAGATTCTATAGATACTGGAAAGCAGGAAAAGTCAGGTGAAGTTTACAGAGATGAGACTACAGCGGTGGTATCAGAAGAAAAAGACGACATTCCAAATCCCAGTGATGAGACCCCTATCGAAAGGGAAATCCGCCTTGCATTGCAAAGGGAGGAAAGTCTGAGAAAAGAGAGGGGAATTCAGCATTCAGTGGAATCAAAAGAGATAGTGGAAATACAAAAAAATCTAGCGCTATCTATTTCCCCAGAAACACAGTTGCCCAAAAAGAACAAAGACAGGGTTCGCACTGCTTTCTTTCTTCAAAGAGAAATTGAAAGAGAAGCACAAAGGGAAGCTGATCTAAAAAATGAAGGAAAATTGACTGGGCTTTATGACAAAGGAAATGCCCAAGAGATAGATGAGCGCAGGAAGTTGTTTGAGCAGCTAGATGAAATACCTGTTTACCCACAGAAAATAACTGCAAAAACTATCTCCAAGGGAATCATAACTGACACACAAGAAGACAGTACATACCAGAGAGACTCTGAAGTGGGCAATGAGACAACTAATTTGACAGTTGTGGATGCTCCTTTACCCTACAGTCTAAGAACCAATTGGAAGCCAACACCACTCAACCCCTACAGAACCAGAAGGCTAAGTATGGATAATATTCTAGATGTAAGAATACCTAATGACACCACAACAGTTCAGGAATCATCAGTGGAAACTTTTGTTCACAAAGAGAATTTTCAATTACAGCCCTTGAAATTCGGCTTACATGCACAAGAAGATCAGGCTGAAGAGGAAAAGGATTATAAGGTGGAGAAAACACCAGTATCTGCAAATGGTGTTGAAAAATACAGTAGAAGGCTGAGGCCTTCACATTCCTTTGTGATGGAGGAAGAGATTCGCAAAACATTAGAGAGAGAACATGAATTACAAGAACAAAGAAGAAAGAGTGAACTTCCTCCTGTTACTACATTGAAAGAAGACCACTATGAATATAATCAGTATGGGAAACCATCACTGACATCAGGTAAACAGTTTCTGAGCAGTTGCTAGTTGATATACTACTGTATATATGTGTACATTTTAATGAAATATTCTTTACTGCTTAACAATAATAGCAGCTTTTAGTCTCTATTTATATTGTATTATATTTCTGAACTCTGGGTTTAATCAGAGATGAACATTTTAAATGAACACTGTTTTCATTATGTAATGGGCTATTTAATGTTTCTCTCTTAGATGGATCAAGAACATGGTCTACTGCATCTAGGAAAAATACTCCATCCAGCCCTTTACCTGCACAAAAGTTCACACCGAAAGCATACCCCAAAGTAGTTTTTTCTGAGTCTGAATCAGAAAGCTTGAAAACACATGAAAACTGGGTAAGTCATTTCTTTTTGTGCAATCATTTCCTTAAATCTCTGCTATAGAAACAATGTTTTGTAGATGCACCAACCTGTACAAAAGCGAAAATATTGTCCTAAAGCTTAACTCTGCATTTTTTTAATTTATTTAAATAGGTCCCCAGGCAGGGTACACATTTAAAAAAAACAGCTCAGGATGCAATACTCACCTTCAATGCCAGCAATACCTTGCAGTACTTATTTTGAGCTCAGCATAATTTAACCCAGAGCACTGAGGACATACTGTACTATAAATGAATGGGTGTCATGATCTCACCGCTTAAAGGGCATCAACTTGGTGCCCTTCATTCTTGGTATATTGCAGGAGAGATCAGTGTTGATGCCATCATGTCAGCGCTGCTCTCTGCATCAGCAGAGTAGCTCCCGGGGTCTGATAACAGGCAAAGAGAAGAAAGACCCAGCACATCACATGACCAACCAAAAGACTTCAAAGAAAGGAAAGTATAAAAAAAACTTGAGCAAAACATACATGCAGAACAGGCCCGGCGCTACCGCAAGGCAAGTCAGGCGGCCGCCTGAGGGCGCTGCAGGGTGAGGGTGGAAAAAACAGGGCATTTTGACAAGTACTTGTACTTGTCAAAATGCCCTGATGTTTGCGCTATGTTTTTTTTCACTTACCTTCGGTGCGGGAGAGCAGCGGTGAGTCAGCGCTGGTCCAGTGGGAGGAGCTCCAGGTGGGGTCCTAATTTAGCTGGCCGGTGACTGCCAGAGGATCCCGACACACGCGGCACCGCAAAAATGCACCTTGCCTGCGTAGGCAAGAATCCTAGCACCAGCCCTGATGCAGAAAGACCTTCAGGAGGATGGGACAATTAAGGGCCTGGGGATGAGCCCATTGTTGGGATCTAAAGTGTTTTTAGAACCCACACTTTTTTATTATCGTTTTGCATAGGATGGGAATGTTTAAGGCCCCTGTCAGGTTTTTTTTCTGTCCGTTCCCTGTTGGGGAGATTTGCCTTCACCTCCTGTGCCAGAGACACAGCAAAATATAAAAGTAGATATTTCCAAAGTTAAAGGATACCCCCTAGACAGCTGTTATGAGAACAGGTTTGGAATTGAAAGATTCCCCCTCACCCCCTGTTCCTGTGAGTTGTACATTTCCCATCTCTTTCTGTACCATAGACAATGGTGCTCCAAAAAATGATGTGATCCCATTGTAAAAGCTGAACATTTTTGTATACCAATAAATTAGTAGTCTGCTATACTCCAAGGTTTACCTTTCTTAGCTGTTTTGAAAGTCAAGCAATCTGCTCATACATGGGCACTTTGTTTATACATTTATATCTGTGCTTAGGGTTGAACGATATTCAATAAATGTCCTTCATTATTACCTGTGGATGTTACTAACAATGTAGACAGTGGTGGGATGCAGAGTGGGGAGGGACCTCGGTCATGGACCCGATAGCTGCGTAAGAGGAGGCACTCGGTGGCATGCCTTATCCCACCAGATGAATGTCCCCCTCCTGCCAAGAAACATGGAGTCAGGAACTTCATCTTTCCTGGCAGGCAATAGTAAAGCTAAAAAAACATTCAGGGCACATTCAGACTGTGCATTGCATGTGTATTAACACTGTGGCAGTGCATGGCAATGCCGTGACATAGCATTGGCAACACCTGGCCCCAGGACTGGAGATCTCATTCCACCCAGAGCTCTACGAAATCTCCAGAGCTCTAGATCCCAGCTACAATTAGGAAAACCTGGACGAACCTGAAAAGCCAGGCTCTTCCTTTTAACATGTTTCACATTCTGGACCCTCTCAGCCCCCTTGGCTGAGAGTCCTGGGTGCCAATGTTGCCATGCTACGTCACGGCATTGCCATGCACTGCCACAACACATTGCATTATTGTGCGTTAGAGCGATGTGGGATGACACAGCCTATTCATTCTGGATGAGCTGAAAGTGCACCATTAAACATTAAAAAAATGTACTGACCCTTGATCTTTAATGCAGTACTCCACATTGCATGGCATGTACATTGCAGTGGGCTGCAGTGCTGGTGCATTCCCAACTACTGTAATAGTGCATTGGGGTGCCGTTAACAAAATGGCATTACTCCACATTGCAATGCACATTTTACCATGTTTTACTGTTGTACATGTTCAGGCATTATAAACCGCACATTTTACTGTACATTACCACAACATTACCACAGTTCTGAATGAACCCAGAAGATTAGCTTTTTGAGATATATTCTGTTTTCAAACAGTATGTTGCGGTAAATGTGACCATAACTTTTCCTTTCTATCTCACGGCTTTGCTTGCTAAATATTAAATAATTATTGCTGGCAAAGGTTTTACTACTCTAAATATAGTATATCTCAGAAGTGCTCAGTCTGTGGGCATAGTATATCTCAGAAGTGCTCAGTCTGTGGACTGGCTCCTATACTTGGGCTTTACAATCTATTTTAGGATTTTCCACACTCAAATGGGAAATAGGGCAGGGCAATGATAGTTGTAGCTCTGTGGTCAATGAACTTTACAAAGTTAATTTGTCAGGTTTACAGTACTTGTCAGTTGAAGGCAGGGCAATACCAAACAAGTTATATCACCTCAATTTTGATAGCCTGTACTTTGACAGCTTGGCTCCCTGTTTAAAGGACCATTAAAGCTGCACTAGCCCCGTTCCTCCTGGGAAGTAATCAGAAGATGGAGGCATTTAAATTGTCTTTGCGCATGTGCTCTTACACTGGTTTAAATACTTAGCAGGTTTGATCATATGTTAAATAATATCTATACAGAAGGTGTGAAGTGTACCTGAATCCTGTATGCTCTTCTCTTTAAATAGTAGAGGAAGTTTTCCCAGTCTCATTACCTCCTGACCACCTGGATACAAGGATGTCTGAACTGGTGGGTGGAGAACACCAGTCCAAGGAAACAGTAACATCTTCCAGCTGTACATTCCCTCTATATGAAAAAGAAATGATTGAGTCCATGGCAAACACTGCTTTTTTTTAACAGGGAGCAAATAATAGATAAATAAATTTGGGAGGGTAGCTACCTTTGTGTATTCAATTACTTCATCCACTTATAATTCAACACCGTTAAACACATATTGTAGACCAAGCCTTTACAGATACACATGGATGTTAAGATGATAAGTCTGTTTTATGTATTTTGTAATAAATTAAGGCTAATTGAGCTTGGTTTACCCCAGTGGAGTAAAGGATTACATAAAGGTAGCTGTGTTTAATTACTGCCCAATTTGATAAAAAAAAAAGAAAAAAAAATCATATGATAAAATATTTCCTAATTCAATTTATAAATCTATTTAAAAAAATCAAAATTAATTTTAGAGATTGCTCTTTCTGTTTGTTATATCACATGTTAAATAAAAAATAACTAAGAAATATATTTTTGCAGATGTACATTATTTTATTTCAGATTGTATTCTATTGTTACATGTTCCTTTCCTTGCTAGCTTGTTATTATTACAATTATTGCAAAAAAAAAAACATAAAACAAAACGTAAAGAAGACTGATAGCTATATTATTCACTGTATATGTGAAATAAAGTAGCTGAGGGAATGCTAATTTGCTATACACCACACTGTTGACTTGAATGTAGAAATCCTCGGGGAACTGAAAAATAGTGGCATATAATCATAAGGGAGACAGCACACAAACTGCACTACAGCAATTCATATATACACATCTGGAATAAAGTACAGTTATCCTCTAGGTACCCTTACATATTGAGCAAGAGAAGTGATTTTCCACCTTCTATGCCCAGATCAGACCCATTTATGGAATGCTTTTGAATTAATTTTTAGGCAACATAATTATCCAGTCCAGTCAAATATCAAGTGGCAGGCATAGATAATGATGGTCTTTTAAGGGAGCATCTGTGCGCAGTTCTTGTATGACTGATATGTGTTCTCTACATGATATGGCTGTTTGACCAGATCTAAAAACTGAGGGAGAACGTCATGGGTTCCATTCTTCCTGTCCTGGCTCCGTTACTTTCGATCGATCACCGGAGCTCTGACAGTTCTGAGCCCCGTTCGCAAGGATGGATTAGTAAGGTCTGCAGATATACTGAATTCATAGTGTTGCCATGCTCAGACAGGAATACGGAACACCACCCACCTTCTGGCATCTCCATGGAATAGGGAGAGGTGTTGTCCAGAGTTAAACTGAGCTTGGCTGCTAATACTGCTGGAGATTTTATTGCAGCACAGGAAGGTAGGAGCCTACTTGGTTTCTAATGAGTTAAACAGGTATTGTTCTGTACTTGCAGTGTTTATAAAGGGATTAAATATGAGTGCACATATTGCAGAAATGTACTGAATATATATATTTTTTCATTTTGCTCTGACATTTGCTTTAAAGAGTAAAAAATAAAAGTCAGCAGCTACAAGAACTGTAGCTGTTGACTTTTAAAAACACATACTTACCAGCCCATGAAAGCCAGTGCTGTCATCCTCACACCCTATGTAATTTTCACGCACCCCCATCTTAAATTCAGCCAGCTGTCACTTCTGGATTACTCAGCCAGCTGAGAAAGAAAAGGTACTCACTTCTCCGTTTTAGGAAACATTTAGGAAACACATTCATCCTGATGGCACTACTAACACACTGTAGAATGTGGTTTAAAACAAATACTGGGATGCTTCTATTTTAAACTATGGGAGCAAGAGGAGGCACTGAAGAAACCTGCAATATGTGAATGCTGCAAGTTCTTTATGTGGAGTTATACCATCACCTACTGGCCCTTTATTAATGTCTAAGTATCCAAAAAAAGGTATCCACCTTCATTCAGAACAACTGTGATATAATCTGAAAAAAGTGCATGTCTTTTGAGTTGGATTATACTTTTTTATATCAACACTATTCGGCTATATACACTTACTCAACTGAATAAGTTCCCACAAATTCTCCACTCCAGAATCTGAATCTCTGTTCAACTCATTCATGGCTCGCAGTTGTGGGCCACTGTAAAGGAAACCTGGCTAAGGATACTAGAACGGTAGACCATGTAGGTTTGGTACACAAGATGTGTTTCAACGCTCTGTCTCGTCTCAGAATAAAGTGTTCTTAATAAGTGGTAAGCTTCTTAACACAATGGTGTCAGAATTTACCATAAAGAGGTATTTCATTTGGGTCATCAGAGGTTGTGGTCCTCGTCTGAAGCTGGCAGGATGGGGGTGATTTACTAACCTAAACACACGCACGCACTAGGTGCGTGTGATTTTTACACAGCAAAACGTATTTATCAACCAAAAAGTCTCTAAAAGCATATTTCCACTAATGCCATATATGGAAAAATCATGCACATGATGCATATATAATGCTGCTTCACAGTTTAGACAAAAATGGTTAGCTCATGCATTTACATTCCTGCATTCATCAACGCAAGCAACACAACATAGAGCTAATTTACACAACATCACCTTGCAAATTCATGCAGTGCTTTGCACAACACACCTGCTGGGTGTGTACACACTACAAAGATGTTTAGATTCCACCCATAGATCATGCTGGGAGGGAACACACTACAGAGGTGTATACATGTTCGTGGTGTGTTTATAAGGTTAGTAAATCAACCCCGATGTCTTCATCATGGCTCCCTGCTCCTGGTCCTGAGAGGATAGAGTAGGCAGTGGGAGCTAGGAGTGACTGATCAACATGGCTTTGCTTTTTCTAAGTGAGTTTATACAATTTAGTTTTGTTGTACCAAAGTTATCCTAGGTTGACTACCTAAGCAGCAAGGCATCATTACCTGAATAGAAAAGAAGACAAGCGTTTAGTATTTTGGATGAATTAAATTTTTTTATCTGCTTTATATTATTATATAGATTAAGTTGTTTGGGTTTTGAGATCCACTAAGTGCTGTTGATGGAAATCTCCATTTTCATAGAGTAGTTTGTTCCTTAAAATAAAATGATAACCCCATCAGTTAACAGGCTGTTCATTTATCTCCCTTAGTATGCTGGCATTGACCCAAGCGATTCTGTCAACACAGAGGTAATGATCTCTTATATTTCCAACAGTTTATGTGTGTGTTCTTCTGTGTAGCTACTGTACTATCATATAAACATGCAAAATCAGCAAATCTCATGTGGAATTATTCATGTTAAAATTATGAAAATGAAGCTACAGCTACAGCATTGCATTGCATGTCTGAGTAGATGAGTGGAGATTGGTATAATTATGTTAACGTTCCTTCCTTGCTAAAGGATATTCCCAGTTGAAATACAATCTGACTAGAACCCTCCATTTCTCCATCGCCCTCATTTCAGTGGGACTGGGATATAAGTGTCTGATTTCTCCAGCAAGATAAACAGTTATTGCTGATCTTACAAGTATATTAACTACACTCACTATTTCTTCCATTAACAAAATGGCCAAAGTGGTCCCTGAAGTAGGATGAAGGCAAAAACATGACAGGAGTGCTGGGCAATTTTGCTTTTTTGGGCATATCCAGCAACAATCTTTGTGTCTGTGATAAATGTGCACACATCACTGGTTGAAAACGGTCATATGGTCACCTGGTGCCAATGATCTGTGCTCCTGCTTCACCTTACCTCTGGTTTAGCGTAAGCAAAAAACACTTGATCTATGATTCAAAAGCAATCCATCTATGGTTCAGGCTGAATGCCATGACATCAAGATATGGTTAAATTGTGGGACAATCTTGAAAAAAATTATGCCCATTTTCAAGGCTAATGGGTAAGGGATTGTCAAACAAAGGGCACTGTCATAGAGGGCATACATATGCAAAAACATTTTTTTTTTAAATACAGTACAGTAGGGAGAGGGTCCTCTTTTTTAAGGCGACTTAAAGGGCAACAAGGGAATGGTATAACAAAAATACCATTCCTTTTGATGAAGTCCTTATAAGATGATGCCTTTGAGATGTATGTGGTGTTATGAAACAGTACAATACTCATGGACAGTGTAAATGATGCCGTATTCTGGCATCACACATTTTGCATGTGTAAGTGATTTTTAAAATTTTACATTTAGCGTACATTTAGATTGGAAAAAGCAGCACCCCAATCTGATTAGTTAAACTTAAAAAGACTTTTTAGGTAGCTTTAGCAGTGACACTGTATTTTTTTCCCAGGTCTGATTTGAAGTAGCAACTAGGGATGTCCCAATACCACTTTTTCAAGACCAAGTTCAAGTACTCTCCCTCATGTACTTGCCGATACCAATTACCGATACTTTTTCTTCAATGGACATTCGACATTTTTTCTAAAACAATACAGACTAATGATTTTAGGGCAGTTTCTCACCAGGGTTGCCTTCATTGGAGGTGACAGGTTCTCTTTAAGGTGACATTAGGGGTCTTTTAGACCCCTAGTCTCACCTTTCCACTTCACTGGATTCAGCTGCTGAGGCAGCTGCAATGAAAATATCCAATAGCAGGCTGGCTATTGTTACACGTGTCCACTCCTTTTCCACTTGATTAAACGGTTTCCTTTTGGTTAAATATCTTAAAGTGTCAGCTCTCCATGCTCCCTATTTGTTTAATAATGCACTCACCAGACATACCCAGAGGTTTTTTCTCTTAATCAAAGGGAAGGTCCGTTCTGTGTGTAGCCAAGATTTACGGCTTCTCTCCTCTCCCGGGAACACACAGAACAGACCTTCCCTTCAGTGAAAACTTCTGGTGTCGTATTTCAGAGACAATAGCCACACATATAGTACAGTGGCTAGAAAGTATGTAAGCAGCTAGATTGGACTGCAGTGTAGGAGAGAGACAAGGTAGTTTTTATCATGAAATAAAGCATATTTTTTCAGAGACAACATCCAGAAATATTGTACAGACTCACTGAACAATTTATAAACAAAAGCAATTTATTACTAGGCCGCAGTTGAAGAGGGAACTATTAAGGCAGGATTTATAATGAAATCAAAAATAGAGTATATTATTTCAGAGACAAAAGCCAGAAATATTTTACAGACTCCATACACAGTAGATAAGAAAGCTCAGTGGGCTACAGTTTCAGTGGGAGATACCACGCAGCTTTTAAAGTACTGTGAAACTAAACTCAGGAGTTCAATCGTAGAAATGCATTGAAGTATCTTACCTATTAACAAAAATGTAGCTTATTTGTGCATCACTCAGCTGTAGATCCTGAAAACATCTTTGAATTCATGCTGACACTGTCCTTCCTTCTGGAATGTGGATCCTTTTGTTCCCCATGGTCCCTGTGTGGTACAGTACAAATAAGGCACAGTATTGTTAATAGTTAAGGTACTTGAATGTATTTTTAAGATTTAACTCCTGTGTGTAGTGTCACTTAAAAAAATAAAATTAGAGTGTTACTTACCATCCGCGTTCCTGTACCAGCACCTCCTCTAATACCTGCAGCCACGGGCACTTCCAGGTTTTAACTGGAGTATCGTGAGAGATGACTGTTTCTTCTATTTAAACCTAAGCAGGTTGCACTGTCACCACTCGAACATAGTGTCAATCCAGAGCTACTGTTGTTTACTGCCTAGCAATGCACCCTCAGCCTGTTCTCTGCTGCAGCCACAGCCCAGTCACCACTGCACCCACAGCCAAAGTCTCTGCTGCGCCCAGGCCTGGTCTTCACTTTACCCTCAGTCCAGTAACCACTGCTCTTGCAGCAAAAGTCTCTGCTGTAACCTCAACCTTAGTCTCCATGGCACCCTCTGCTACTGCTGCTCCCCAGCCTCATCCACAGTCTTCGCTGTGCCTCTGTACTTACAACCCAAGTCTCCACAACAACTAAAGCCCCAGCTGCACCATCTCTGTACCTGTGCACAGTTTGAACCTCCAATGAGCCATCTCTTCCCTCCCAGCCTCACTTCTTCCCCCAACTTCCCTTTGCACCAACACTCCTCTGTGTCCGCAAGTACCTGTTGAGTTGGCCTAGCCAGCAGCTAAGCCCAGACTCGCATGAAGGGGTCCCTGGCAGAACACCAGGTACCCCTTAAGCTGGCAATACACTATGCAAATTTCGGCCTGGTTCATCGAATTTGCACAGTGGATGCCGGTGTCAGCACCCTTTTGCCAGCATCCCTCAGTCGGCCGGAGGGGACGGACGGAAAATCTTTGAGTAGTAAGCCAATCAGCTGCCAGCTCTGTTCAGGTATTCCGACAGCAGCCGGCGGCCACCTTCAGAATAACATGAAGACAGCGAAGATTCCTCAATAAATGCTCATAAGCATTGAATGAGGAATCTGTTATATTTTTTTTGTTCAGCCTGCAGGTTGAGCTAATTAAATATTACAGTGTATGGCCAGTTTTAGACTCCATTTACTCACAGGGAGTAGGGTCCGCATCTTGATTTGTGACAGCCACAAATATTTTTGATAGGTGGAGCAGTGGAAAAGACTAAAACTAGGAGACATGGAGCATGATTAACCCTCTAACAAACATTACAAATTTTGCAGCTGAGAAATATTATGTGTGTTACATACAGTGCCTACTCACTAAAATAGGCCGCAAACTTTAAAGCACAATGCAGGACTGACCCAGCAGAAAAATGGTAAATGTTGCAGCTGAGGCTAGCTGCAGGAAAAACCATGTGTGGCACCTTTACTGTGCTGGAACACCAGAATTGGGCAGGAGAAGCCACAGGAGCTTGTAATGGTGTCAGACCAGCAGGGCTGGCAGGAGCTGGTTATTGTGGCTGGCCGGCAGCAGTGGAAGGAGCTGGTAATGGTGGCAGAAGCTGGTAATGGTGGAAGGCTAGCAGAGATTGCAGGAGCTGATAATGGTGGCAGGCCAGCACCGATGGCAGGAGTGGCTAATACTGGCAGGGGCAGGTAATGCTGGAAGGTCAGCAGAGGTGACAAGAGCTGGTAATGGTGGCAGGCTAGCAGCAGTGGTAAGAAATGGTAATTATGGCAGGCCAGCAGCAGAACAACATGGTAACCGTGGCAGGTCAGTAATGGTTGCAGGAGAAGGTAATTTAGCAGGCCAGCAGCGGTGCATGAGATGGTAATGGCAGCAGGTCAGCAGTGGTTTAACACGATGGTAATGTTGGTAACCCAGCAGCAGTAGAAAGAACTAGAAATGGTGGCAAGAGTTGGTAAAAGTGACAGGCTAGCAGAGGTGACAGTAGCTGTTGGTGGCAGGAGCAAGTAATGGTGGTAGGAGCTGGTATTGGTGGCAGGCCAGCAGTGGTGGCAGAGGTTAGTAATTATGGCAGGCCAGCAGCGTTTAAGGAGATAGTAATACTGGCAAGTCAGCAGCAGAAGAAGCAGGTAATGGTGTCAGGACAGTAGCGGTGGCAGGAGATGGTAGCTATGGCAGGCTAGCAGTGGTCACAGAAGATGGTAATGGCAGTAGGCCAGCAGTGGTTAAAGGAGATGGTAATAATGGCAGCTCAGCAGCAGTAGAAGGAGCTAGGTATGGTGACAATAGATGGTAATAGTGGCAGGCCAACTGACGTAACAGTAGCTAGTAATGGTGGCAGAAGGTAATTGTGTAAAGTAAGAGCAAAATTTAGTCGTTCATCAGCTGCAGGGATTTTGTAAACATTGCTGATCCAGGATTGGTGCATTCATATGAAAGTGAGCTGGTCAACTGTGTCAGGGAACAAGTGAATTCCTATCTCTGTCACAAAACCACCCACTGCACTGAATGCCCTCTCTGACAGTGCACTGGCCACAGGGCAAGCCAGCAGCTCCACTGCATATTGTGCAAGCTCCTGCCAGTGGTGCAGCCTGGACACCCAATAGTCCCATAGGGTCCTCGTTTTCAAGGGTATCCACATTTGCCCTGGACCCTTGTTAATTTGCGAACATATGGTTTAAGTGATGCCTGTGACTACTGCCAGCAGCCAGGCCTTTTCAATTTGTTCTAAATAACTGAAAAGCATCACTGAGGCAGCTACCATCACTGCTGCTTCTCCTTCAGTGATCTGAAGATTAAAGGCGCATTGGCCATGCAAGGGGATCCTGCCACTCTCTGGAACGGCAGCTAAGAGGCATCTCTTCCAAGTGGCACACTTTTGCTCCCTCTGAGATGGCAGCATTAGATCTGCCCTTTTGCCCTTTTATCAAAGATCTAAAAGGGTGGCCAATCATTAATGGTCCCTCTCCTTCTTGGTTTGAATCCTGGGATCCTTGCAAAGATATTTTAGCATGGATGAGCCTGTTAGCCACAAATTGCCTGCAGCAGAGAGCCCCAAATATTCTGTGTTTCTGAGGACAACAGTGTCCTCAAGCATCTCACCCCACCCATATGGGGTGGAACGTATCCCCTGGAAACCTGCCCCATGTACCTCTCCTCACCACTGACACCCCAACCCTCCTCTTTGTACTCATCCTATACCTGCTGCTGTCTCTGCCTCACAGGGATGGAGTTAGTAGTTAGTTAGTCAAAGGATCCTGCTGGCCCTGAGATAGTAGAAAGACCTCCTCTTGCTCCTGTTGCTGTTCCTCCAGTGCCCATTCGATAACACTGTGCAGTATCTGCTAAACCATAGGGATCATGTCACTAATCCCCACCTTGTTATGGCTCACTATTATCGCCAATACTCACTGATGGCTTGTTGCTGCAGGTACAGCCACTGCAGCATGGCCAAAGTCAAGTTCCAGTGTGTGGGTGCGTTACATATCAGGGGGTTGGCAGACAGCTTGTATTGCCACTGCATTTCTGCCAGATGAACACTCACTAGGTATGACCAACTAAAGTGGTAGCATACTCTTTTAGCCTGCAGCAGAATATGCTGGAAATCTGGGTATCTGACTAGGGACTGCTGCATCACCACGCTCAGGACGTGTGTGAGGCAGGGCACATCAGTGGACTTTACATGCAGAGGGGTTACCTCGTTAAGCAATTAACCACTTCAGGCACAGCATATCTTTGATCTTATGTTCACGGCAGTCAGAGATCTGCCTCCTGACTTTTCAGCTTTTCTCTATTCAGGTCACCGGGGGAAGCTTAAATTGTAGTTCCACTTTTGCAGTCAAATGTGAGAAAATCCCACAATATGTTTGTTATGTGTTTCCTTTTACACAGCATACCAAAAAAATGTTTTCAGAAATATATTTCTTACCTTGTAGCTGTTCTTTTGTTGAAGGCCTTTGTGCAGATTCCATTCTACTCCAGGCAGTTTGAAAGTGAAAGTAGATGGTCAGACTGAGCTTCCTCTCGTTAACATACATTGCTTTAAAGTTTTTAATCTTTTGTTAGAACAAAGAGTGTTCAAATCTAATTTATATTTGGTAATAAAATCTGCCAACACAGTACAGACAGGGTAAGTAAACATACCTTTGCCCCTCCTTAGGGGTCCTCTCTTTTTTCTCCTTTGCTGCTCCACGCTCTCTAACTGCTTCCATTCTCAACTATTCATTCCCAAACAGGGAATGTTAAGTGACAGCAGTACTTTCATGGTGACAGCATTAGTGAGACCTTTCTTTAAGGGGCCTTAACTTAGCAAGATCAGGGTTGTCCTGGTAAAGCAAGAATGAATGAGGACATCTGGTGGCACTTGAGAGAATTGCAACAAACATCTCACTTTATGTGTAACAGTAGGACCCTATAAGCAGAATGGTGCTATTATCACACAAGACCTTGTCTGGCATGAGATAGCAGGGGATCAGCCAATTCTCAGCCTATTCCTGAAATGCTACCAGAATCTCTGGCCCAGTGTGGCTCCTGTTTTGCCTGGACCGCATAGGTTCTTGGTCACTTGGGGGGGCGGGGTACTGGCTGTTCTGAGTAGGCCATTATGGAAGGGAGAGTAAAGGTGACTGCGCTGTCACCATCACTAACAAAAGCAGATTACATCAGCACTCCAGCATGAAGATTCATGTCAGTGCAAATGCACTTCATTGATAGATGTCATGAAGATAAGCGCTTTCGGGGGGCCTAGCAGGGTCTCCTTCACCAGGCTCAATAATGACCTTCATGAATGTCATTATTGAGCCTGATGAAAGGGAACCTGCGCGGCCCCGAAAGCACTTGTCTTCACAACATCTATCATTAAAGTGGATTTGCACTGACGTGAATCTTTGTGCTGGGGTGCTGATGACATCTGCATTTGTTACTGTATTTTGAGCGGTGCCATCTGCAGTTATTACAAGCACCCGATATTTCTGGGTTATACGGTAAGGAGTGTGGCAAGGTATATGGACTTTGCCACCATCACTAAGGTGCAGGACATGGGTGGAACCCCCAGATCCAGTAGTGTGCTCCATCCTGCATCCTTCCCAACCACCAGCAAATGTACCCAGTGCACCATAAAGAAGTTGCAGTGTCGCTCATGCTTGCTAGACCATATCTCTTTGGTCATGTGGACTACATAGTTCAGCTATACAGAGGCATTAGCTTTCACATGCTGATGAAGGGCAGGGGCTGCCTTAAGAAAAACACTTTTTATCACTTTGACCCGAAAGCTGCAAAATATAGGTGTGGAACAAAACAGGACATATTTACCATATCTTAGGGAGTGGCTTTCTTGCTTGGTGGACCAGCTAGATGTAACTTTTTTCTGTGCTCCCTTGATAGTAAGCAAAAAGTTTCGGACAGCTGTACCCATAGGCGTGCGTACAGGGTGTGGCGGGGCACATCCTAATCACCCTGAGTACAACACCGAAACTGCAACAGCGGGCGCCGTGTTTTTAGTTACTGAGTCGGTGGAGAGATCACAGAAATCTCTCGGTGACCAGCTCAACAATTTAGAGTGGAGCAGCACTTGCTATTTACATTTCTCACATAACAGCTGCTGCAATCCTCGGTGCCTGGAAAGCTCTGAGGGAGCATGGTCGTGGCTTCTCAGGATTCCCATCCAATCAGGAAGCCGGGTGGGTGGTCACCTGAACACCTGCCTGGCTCCCTACTTCATTACTCCACCCCTACTGGAAGAGGTAAGGGTCAGTTAAAGAGAGGGGAATCCGGGATGCGTCAGGTTTGTGTATATATGTAATATATATATATACATTTTATATATACTGAATATACTGTATAAATAAGGGGTGTCCCGATATCAATAATAGTATAGGTATTGGGGCCGATACAGGGCATTTTCAGTACTTGTACTCATGAAAATGCTCTGCCGATGCCTGTGCTTTCAATTTTTAAATAGCTTCGGGCTGTTTGTACAAGTGATCCGCCGGGATCACTTGTATAGCAGCCTGCTCGTCTGTCCCCCCTGCTGGCCCCTCCCCTCCAAGGTCCCCCCCCCATTGTCAGGCCTGTCACCTCCGAATGGTGTCACATAGGGACTTATTAGCAAGCGGAATAATTAGGAGCAATAAGTGGGAAAAAAAGTGATAATAAATACAAAATAATAGAATTTAAAAAAGTGCTAAAAAAGGTAAAAAAAATAAAACATTAAAAAAATACAAAATAAAAAAAAAGTGCTAAAAAGGTTAAAAAAATTGAAAAATAATAAATAGGCTGTTCATGGCTGTACCCAGTTCCTTATTTTCTTATTTTTTAATAATTTGTTTCTTATTATTTTTTACTTTTTAATCACCGTTTTATTTTTTATTTAATTATTTCCTTTTTTTTTACATTTTTATTTATTTCATTTTTTTTTTTTATCAATGTAATGTTTTTTTCCCACCTAACTTCATTGCTATCACGCAGGAGAAAACAATCCTCTGTGTGATAGCAATTGGAGGTGACAGGTTCTCTTTATTGACCCTGTCACCTCCAATACAGGAGTTCTAGCACAGCACTGTGCTGGAACTCCTGTGACAGGTGAGAGAGGAAGAGCACAGAGTTCTCCCCTCTCACCGTCTACACGGAGCGGCAGGGTTACTTTTAACTCTGCTGCTCTGCTTACTGCAGTGAGAGACTCTGCGGTGGAGCCCGGAACCAGAGGAGAGAGGTAAGTGCAGGGGGGAGGGGAGGAGGCTGCACACTGTTTACATGTGATCTCGGCGACATCGCTGAGTTCACATGTAAACGAAAAATCGTCTGCCTCACTCTACATTTAGTCCTGCTTGTACAAAGCAGGACTGAATGTAGAGAGGGCAACTGCTGCCGCCCCTCTGCGCCCTGCCGCCCCGAGGCCGTGCCTCGGTGGCCTTGTGGGGAATCCAGGCCTGCCAGTTCCCCATGTTCTTTTTTGACAATAGTTTCTCTTTTAGCCTTGAAAATCTAGTATCACCCCCAATAGACTTCATTGGGATTCGCTGTTAATTCCGCATTTGGTGAATTTTGAACAGGATCCAACTAAATCGAATCTAGACCGACTCATCCATCCCTACTAATCAGTTTACTGATGTTTTCACACTGGTAAAGACAAAACCTTTTTTATTTTTAGTTAGAGTAAAATACTTGATATTTCCAGGTATAGGGAAGCATGACGCTCCCCTTTATCACGTGTAAGTGTTGGGGTTTGGTTGCCCGGGCTCACATATGGGGGCAGGGAAAGAGTCTTCATCCCTGTGTAAACTCTGACTTGAGTGACTTGGAGCTTACACGGGGAATCCTTTCCTCGTTTGAAGGAGCTGGAAAGAGTGACAGGGCATTGAAGGAAAGGTGGGTATGTGCTGTTGCTCTGCCCTGCATGTCTTAGCACTGGTTTGCCTAATCATTCATAACAATGTAATTCATAACTTTTGTGATTCTATTTCAGATCGTGGAGTCCACCCGTGTAAGTCGACACAAGAGCAAAATGGCACTACGTTGGGAAGCTGGCCTATTTGCCAATGAGCCAAGCGAGTAGAGTTCAGAGAATGGAAGATGCTGGACGTTGCTGTGGAGTGCATGTTAAAAGTGTCCTTAATTTAATGTGTGTTGCTAATTTCAAAAGAGTGTCAAAAGGAACAATATATTACTGTACTGTGCTCTAGGGGAAGTCCTTGAATATTGAACATTATGTGCCTGTACACAGATGATCCCTATGTAGGGTTGCCACCTGTCCAGGATTCACCCGGACAGTCCGGGTTTTGAATGCTGTGTTCGGGTTTCATCCCAGCAGAAACCCGGACACAACATGTCAGGCAGGCAGGGGCAACCAAAATTAAGATAGAGGCTACTGGCCCCCCACTGAAAATAGTCTCAGCTGTGATATTTACATATGAATGGGCGGCTCTATTTACATATGAAAAAGCCATGACTCATTCTCCCGAAAAAATGTCCGCGCGCCGCTAGAATGTTCGGGTTTCGCTTGAAGAAATGGTGGCAACCCTATCCCTATGAGAATAAGATTTTTCATGCAGCTGCCCTTAGGCTGCCACGGTTGTGCTGCACTGTCTCCGTGATTCAAGGATGGCCACTTGTCATTTCAGTAGTGGCCGCTGGTAGCTCAACTGCTACTATTGCATGTAGGCAAAGCTGCAATTTACATTGCATTTGGAAAAGTTTGGATTTTATGGTAGTGTGTAGTAATAGAATCTGTTAACTTGCTGAGAGCTATTACAGTAAAAGCAATTGGCACTGCTGAAACCCTAACCACAGCCAGATCTTTAATTAGACCATTCACACCACCCATAGTGGTGGTCTAGTGTAACCTACCCATAAATCTCAGTTAAATAAGAGTTTAACTCAAGACAGTTTAAAACTAGCTTGTTTGTCTGTCCTTGCAATAGCTATGTAATATAGATTACCTTGTTAGAGTGTTTTAAAACTACTGACATTTCTGGTCTCTCAGCCTATGTTCTCTGGACTGCCAGTTTAATTTATTAGGATAAAAGTGATCCTGTCGCCAAAGGGCCACTGGTATACTATGACAATCCCTTCAAAAGAAGAGGCAATATAAAGAAGAGGCAGTGGTACCTCGGTTCATGAACGCTTCTGTTCGCAAACAATTCGGTTCGCAAACAGGAAGTTCGGCAAAATTTTGCTTCCGTTTGCGAACTCCGCATCGGGTGACGAACACAACCGCAGACATCGTCCCTGCTCTGACACATGGTCGTGGCTTCCTCTAGACAAGATCACGGTCTGATCACAGTTTGATTCGGTTCGCGACCAGAGATAAGGAACAAATTGAGTTTGTGAACCAAGGTACTACTGTACTTACCTTTCCAGTGTTCCATGTGTTAAAGTGTTGCCACTTTGCTTCCTCTTTGCCACTGCTGATATACACTGCCTGGTGAAAAACAAAAAAAACCCATACTTTTATCTTTCATTACAGCACACCATGGCGTTGTTTCAATAAGTTTATACAATATCACAACATGTATTTCCATCCAGAGTTGCCTTAATTTTTTACCATTTTGTAGTGATGATGGGAGAGTCGGACCACTGCGTAAAGTCTCCAGCACATCCCAAAGATTTTCAATGGAGATAAGGCCAATCCATGTGTTAAAATGATGTCTCATTCTCCCTAAACCACTCTTTCACAATTTGAGCCCAATGAATCTTGGCATTGCCATCAGGTGCCCATGCCATCAGGGAAGAAAAAAATCCATTAATGAAAAAACCTGGTCATTCAGTATATTCAGGTAGGCAGTTGACCTCATTTTTGGGGGTCATAATGTTGCTGAACCTAGACATGACCAACTGAAGCAACCAAAGATCATAACACTGCCTGAAATCCAGGTGGTGACCTTTTTTTTGGTTACATCACTAGTGTACTAGTGTAGTGTACATCACTACAGAATGTATGAGATGGCAGGAGGAACCACTATGTGAGGTGGGGGAAAGGTGGGGCTCAACCTACCCAGAAAGGTTGGTGACAGGGTCAAACAGACAAATAAAAAAAGAAATACTAGCATTTTACTAGACTGAAATATGTCCTTTATTTTTTTCCATATTTTCCTGAACAGCAGGCATCAAACTAAAGTTAGGAGATCAAGCACCGAAGCTAGTTGTGGTCTTTGTATTGCATCATGGTGCCAGTGTAACATCTTTAGGAACTCAATGCTGGTGAGGGAAGTGCTTGGCCAGCTCAAGGTGGAGCTCAGCAGTGTGGTGATTCTCATATATAGCTCAATGAGAAGGCAGGTGAAAGCTAGAACAGTGAATAGCTTCACCATCCTGGCTATACAGAGTTTCAGGGGGATGTGGACCACAAAGGTGGCTGAGTGAGGAACATTGCAAACATTTTGGCAAGTAAAACAGTTATTTAAAGAGACTCCTTTACAGGGGAAAGGGGGGTGCAAACTGTTTAAGATTATAAAGCGCAGACAACCAGAAGAGCCTGTTAATACATGCACCAACCTCCCTAATCATTATGTAATGGGCAAATTTCTGGCCATTCTGATGGGAAAAGATTCATCCTACCTCCTGCACAGTTTGGCCAGTAAGTGGTATGTGGGGCCACTAGGAATGTGTGGGGGTTAATGGCAGGCATTGACACTATCCAGAGGTGTTGGAGCTTTGGCCGGTCTGAATAAACCAGTAAATCGGCAGTGACAAGGAGGTATAAAGGGATGCTATGGGTATTTGCTGGCACTTCTAGGTGCCTTTAGCAGTTTGCCTTCTTCTTCCCAGTGAAAGAGCCATTGTCTGTGTATATAAAGGTTTGGCTATAGTTCTGTAGCCTACCATATCAAAGAAAAAAGAACTTAAAGCATGGAAGGTGAATAGAGAATTACATTTGTTGAATATAGATAATGGTCAGTAAGCCTCTTTGGCAGTGACCCATGCAGATCTTAATGTATATAGGAAAGTAAGAAAATACTATAATCATGTAAATGGCTTTTAACAGATGAGCTGGTGAAATAATAATAATAATAATTCATAGGCGTTAACCAGTGGCTTGATGCACTAAATGGACTATATGACTAAATATTTAAGTCAAAGTGCAACAATGGCAATTAAATTATTATTGCCACCTCAGCAAATGTCTTTTGTTGTATAGTTGAATTGCTATTAATCAAGCCTCAGCTTTAGAGTGGCATAAGGCTTTATAGAGCAGTTTTGTGCAATGATAATCCAAATTCTTTGTTCAAGTTAATTATCAACTTGTATTTGTACAAACAACAATGGCATTAAAGGGCCATTAAGTTACCTTTACAAGTAGAATTACTTGTGCACTTTTCAGAAATGATCATGCTTGTGAAAAACTTGATATATTTGTCATTGTCTACAATACAACATATGAAGGTCATTGTTAGCAGGCAATTTAGCCTACAACATGCTTACCAAAGGCTGTTTGCTGTCTTTGTCAGTTGCACTATATCAGGCTCATGTTTTTTTTCTTCTTCCCAGAACCATTGAATCTTCTTCTGTATGTTCATATACATATTAGTAAATGGTAAGTAGGATTTAGAGTAGGATCCTGGCCTTTAAAAGAAACGCTGAACATAGAAATTATGTTTGTGGTGGAGTTCACTATGTTTTATAGTAGAGGTACCAGACAGCCCTATTAATAGGACTAGCCTATCTTAGACAGGCAGAGATATTGCTGAGTTCTTGTCTATGTAAAGTTTCCAATCCCATGAAAAAGACATTTAACAGCAACAACACTTTGTTAAATAGTACATTTTAAAGACTTTTTAACATTTGAATATGTATAGCCCAAACTTTATAAAGTTTTAGATAGTTAGAAAAGGTTTAGAACCACATTTTTATTGCTGTATTTATCTCTGCTAGGTAGATCACCAAGATAGAAAGTAACAGGGCACCTAAGATTTTACAGTTGTCATCAGAAGGAAAGGGTACTTCCAATGGGAACACCAGTCCTGGTGACAAGTAAGAAGGGAGTTCCTCTCACTTTGTACAGATTTTGAGATACGGATGCCAAGAAAATAAACTGACAAAGGTTTAAACTCTTCTCAGTTCTATCCAAGAGGTCAAGAAAGCAAGTTTTGGTTATACATACACTTTAGTAGACGATGACCACAAACCTAAGTGGTAAAATGTGTGTGAGCATTTGAATGGATTTTAAGTATTAATAGGAAACTGTCAGCTATGCATGATCCCTCTACTCTACTTGATTGAAGGGTTTGGCTACAGTAGAACCTAGTATTGTAGCATAGTCATTGAGATATAACAATGCTACCACGCCTCCAGGATTTGTCAGGATGCACAATGGATGGACGGTGATCCCACTTTTGCTTACAAATGGATCGAGACAGAAGGGGACCACTCTTATGTTCCTAAAAGGGTGGAGCAAAAATCTTAAGTAAATTTTACCTTAGGTAGTAAATGTTCTTAAATTTCTAAAACCACTTGTGTATAAATGCCCCTACTTTTTGCATGACTAGAGACCATTATTTGTTGTTTATATAATGGGGCAGCATTCATTTATTAAATAGCATTAGTTTAGTGCGATGAATCACATGAGCATTTTGCAGCCGTGATTTATAGCATCTACAGAATTACTAAGAAAATCGCAAGTAGTTACTCATGTTATCCACATAGTGCTACAGGTCATGCCACACCAGCGATTTGTAGCTGTAGAGAAAGAGATATTGCAGCCTGCTGCAGAATATAGAGAAAAAATAGGAAAAAGTTGCTAGTGTGACCTGGTCCTAAGGACGAATCAAAATGTTAACATTGTGAATAGATATATGAAAACACTTGAACTTGGAAAATTCATTTATGGAATTGTTTGCACTTTTCATGTACAAAATACTCCTTTTTGCTATAATTATTGATTTTTAATGTCCCTTTTCTATATATTGTCCAGCATGCTGACCTACCGTTTCAATAATTTATGGACTCCTGACCCGAAACTAGTAAGCAGATGTGGACAATCAAAGATCAAAGTCAGAAGTCCTCTTTTGCATACTTATTCTAGGTCAGTGGTACTTATTCTAGGTCAATATTGAAGCCAGA